ACTGTCACCATCAATATTTTCAAGTAAGTTAATTAGAAGAGTAATTAATATAGCGGAAAACAAACAACCGAAACCAACAACCAGTATTGATGAGAGTCTAATAAAAAGTTTTATCAAAAACGGTTCATCTACAATAGAATACTCGGAATGACACTGTTCACAAATGTTTAATTTTGATGGATCTTTATAGAAATATCTCCATTGATTTAAACAATTTCTATGAACATATCTTATAGAACCATTACAGTTACATGGAGAAATTAATGGATTCTTTTCACAACCATCTAAAAAACAATAACGACAAATTCTCTCTGTTTCCATGTCTACCCCTTAAAGAAATTTATTTTAAGAAATAATTTGATAGATCAGTAGAAAATAAAATTTATTAAAATGTTCCAGCTACTAAACTGGGAATTTCTTCTTTTCTGGCGGTTATTAAAATAATTTAACAACTGTGATTAAAGAAGGATGGGTTTAAAAACTTTTATTAAAATTTATGAACACAACTTTTTAATTAAAGTAGTAGTGTTCATTATGTAACCCCTTTTAAAGGATCTAAAAATACAAATACTACTCTCGATTAAAGCAAGTCTCTGAGAGAAGAAGGGTTAAAAAAGTAAACAAAAAATTAAAATTAAATTTAATAATTTTTCTTACAGTTATGACATATCCACCCTTCATTTGGAATTGAATGTAACCCAACACACTTAAAATGATACCAACTAATATCACAATGAATATTATCACAACAAATCATTTGACCATAAGCAATATCATTACAAGTACAGAAAGTATCAGAAGATACTTCTTGTTTCTCTTTTATTCTAATAACTAACCTTGACTCACCAATATTTTTTAATTGTTTAGGAAGTATTTTTCTATCAGCAATCTCACACAATTTATTATAATCTTCAATGTGTTTCTTTAAACACTCTTGAAAATCATTAAGAAGTTCTTTTCTTACTTTAAAAAGTCTTTCTAATTTACTTTTAAATTTCTTTAACTTTTTAGAGTTAACTTTAGGGAGTTTAGTTATCATTTTATCTAGTTTGATCATATAAGTTTTAATAAGATCATCTACT